TATAGGCTTCGAAGAGTCAGAGACTTTGGTGCCCATGTTCCATGGGGGACGGCGGGTGGCGAGGCTGCTTGTCTGAGATATGAGGAATGCTCGCCATTCTGCCGCGACACAATAGACCTCATCGTGAACAGGGGTGCCCTTATGGACGATCGAACGAAAGCTGTCCAGAGCGGGTTCCGGTCTTTTGATAAGAGTGCGAGTTCTCTTCGGCGACGGATTGCGTTGGAGTTTAGTTGGGTTTACTAGTCTTGTTAGTTTTTTGGATGGCAGTCTCTTTACTAAGGGATCACAGGGACTGAAGCTCCTATCATCCCATTCGGTTACGAAGGTGAAAAGTTTTCCCTTGGCCGTATTTCTCGGCTTTGCCTCATCAACAATGGGAAGGAAAAACTGATAAGCGCCTTCATCAGGAACCTCGTTAATTACATGCCCTCTTCCCTCCTCACTTTCACTCAGAGTCAGAGTAGCAGGAGCCTCGAGCTGGAACGAACCGTAGAGGTCGGAACCGTCGGGCTGCAGTGTGACTTGTTCCGAGATCTTCCTAAGCTCCTTCACTGCGCAGGGTGCTTGCGCTCTCACTGTGGTAGAAGGTTCAAAGCCGTCAGAAATGTTGTTGGTGGAGGTGTTGATAGACAGATCGGAACAGTTTACGAACGATTGTTCTCCTAACTTATCAACCAGGCGTTTGATTAGGACAGTACCGCGTGCGCACGAATTTTCGCTGGTGTGTCCTCCGTGAAGAAAGCCATGATCCAGGTATAACTGGCGGCAGAAAGATCTCTCAGAACACTTTGACATATTAAAAATATATTTTCTAGGGACACAGTTAAGTCTGTGAGCACTGACAGGGATTCTTGTTCCTCTGGAGAAAGCAGCCCATTTTCTGTAATAAGGGCATTTTACCGCGTCGTGTTCTCCCACAAAGTAAATAGAAGTCGTCCTTGCATTGGTTCCTGCTGAAATATTCGCGTTTTGAACGGGTTTTCCTTTCGCGTTGCGTGGTTTTTGTGTTTTCGCCGGCGCATCTCCCTTGCTGGCCTGCTGAATGTCAATGAGCCTATGAGGGGCACTCTTTGCGCGAATCTGACGTGGCTTCTGGGGGGACTTGAGACCCTGCTCCTGCATGTTAAGCGTGCTGGTCACGACATGTCTATATTTTCCCCTCAGCCGTCTCCACTATACCATGCACGTGACCATTCAAAAGCCACAATCGATGAGCGTATGCAAGGGGCTCTAACCACTTGATCCTCTGGCATCAAGGGTGGGAAGTACTCGTCGAAGTCAGAAAAACGAGTGGAGTACGTCTACTAGTTGACAAGCTACATCCAGCTTCATAAATACAAGCGCGACGCCTTGTATAGAGGCTTGGCTTACATCATAGGTACCATCCGAAGGTCTGCAGTGATCACAACAAACAACCTAACCTAAACGGAGATAACTGAGTTCACGACACCTGCTGCTGGGATCCAAGATCCGCCTCAAAATGGTTGTCTCATAAGTGTATTGAAATCTGTAGCGGGAGAACGGACAATGGCGAACGCGTTGAAGGTGTCATCCTCGACAGAGTAAACCATCACAAGTCTGCGGGAAGTCTCGGACCTATCGGTCGGTTGATTATATGATCATCTGGACTAAGCCCTTTCTAGCATTAATTGTTTTTTTTTGGGGTGAATTTAATTCGAGACTGGTCTTACCAGTTCAACATGGAGCTCCCAAACAAAGGTTGGAGTTAAACGTCACAAGAAGACTTTATCTTCAAACCTGCCAACTAGGCGGTAGTACGTGGTTAGCACATAAACTAGTCTCACCATGCACGGTACACAGGTTATATCCAAACGGCCAGATATGTTTTGCTAATTTTCAACGTTTGCAGCTGAGCAGTTTATTCGACGTGGGTTCTCAACATTGTAAATGTTCAAAATTATTTTCGAGTTTCGAGGTAGGTAGCCAGAGCCGGTCTTCTTGGGTCAGTCCCAAACACAACGCGACCGGTCCTAATGGCCTTAATACAAGTTGGAAACAATTTATATCAGGAAATTATAATGTTGACTTGCTCGATGTTAGGGTCACGGTCCTTCTTATTTACGCGAAAGGCATACTCGAGGTAGTTTCCAACAACTGCTCTCTTGGCTGTAAGGAAGGTGTGATTCTGAGGTCGAACATCTTAAAAGAGGGAATTCACCGGTAGGCGTATTGTTTTGGTTTGATCAGTGTCGCCCATGATCTAGGAAGGATGCACACCCCCCCTCCCAGAACCAGCACTACCCGCGACATTCCAGGAACGTGCGGTCAGTTTGTCTCGCGATTAGAGTTGCGTAAAGGGCACTCACGCCAAAGAAACACCGCTTCTGTTGTACTGCCTCCTATTCCCCAATAACAGCAAACTTTTGCCTCAAAGGACCACACTTCAAGCAAAACAGAATTTGCCAGCGTTAGTGCAAGGGCCTCCCGCAGGCGCCTTGTAATATAGACAGACAATTCAAATTTCTCGCAACTGACCAAGGACTTGGACTGAAAGTTCGCCAAGGAAAAACCTCGGGTTTTTCCTTCTGAAGTTTGAGTACCAGCAACTTGGCACCACCAAGACAGTGCGTGCAAATCGCGACTAAGGCATGTAAAGAGCGCTCGACCGCTTTCGAGCTGTGCACCTCTCGCAATTGACCGAGTTTATACGACCCAAAGAGATTTCTCCACTTCAGATGGAAGCGCTAGACGTTGTCGATTATAGGTGATGGACGACTTGCAGATAATAGAATCCCCCAGACTATTCGTACAGAAATCTGTCAGACGTTTTCAAAACCCAGCGTAACAGGAAAGCCATGTTCCGTTCACACAAAATGTCCGCCCACACCTGCCGTAGTATTTGCAGATGTGTCCCCAGTACCCTGTTCGTGCAGGCAGTAAAGTCTGTTGTCCCACTTTGACATTCGCCGCCCACAGGATGCCTGAAAACGTTTCCTCCTGCGACCGGCAAACGGGGGGGGGGGGTCAGGCTCAAGTATCATGGAGGCGTACAAGAGAGTTGTTAACTCAGCGAACTAAAGGTAGATCTTCTTTTCCGAAGGAACCACACACCCAGATTCAGTGGACATCCCAATAATATATACGGGGCGCCCATGTACTCACGGATTGGATGAACGAAATTCATGCAGTGAGTTCACAACTCATGCACGGGACTAACTACGCCGGCCGTAATTACGGGAAGTCTCGACTTCACGCGGAAATCAAGGTAGGCCGACAAGGCATGAAATCCTGAGTATTTCCCTGTACAGTCACCTTTACGCGTTCGCAAGCAATGGCGTACATCTTCCCCTAGTCTTTTAATAGCAGTTTCTCTTCGCTGGGAAGCACAGTTTATCAGTTTTTCACGCGGGTGTCTTCACTGGTGTTCACTTTCTTGTGTTCCTCTCTTTTTTTGAGTACGTTGCCTTCGTCCGCTGCCGCCTCCCAGTCTCTCTAAACCTTATCCGTCCGGCTCCCTACTGAAGAGTTCAGTGCCCAGTTTGGGTCTTCATATCGCCGAAAATTCTCAGGAAAGACACTTGAGTATTATGAAGTCTTCGGAGTCTTTTGAATACACTAAGCACCTTGGTCCAACAGGTGAACCAAAAGGCTTGTGAACTTGTGAAATACACATGACATCCGACTTTTTCCCATATGATATTTATGGTAGGCACTTTAGGGCAAATGGGTCATCGTCTGATGGCTCTCATGAGCCAAACGTGAGCAGACTGCCAGTATGAAAGTGGTGGATCACACAACAAATGGGTAACTGGTTTCCCGTTTGGTGCATCCACTGGTCGTAGACATCTCCCCCAGGGTTCTGGAGCTGGGTCTGAAAAATTCCGTGAGATTGTGACCAAAGCCTTTGTCAAACGGGTTATGAAAGCCATTTCGTTCTCCACGAAAATGAGCATACCTAGGCCAGTTGACAAGCTCGTTCGTCGTCACGTTGAAGAGGGCTCGGGTTAGCTGAAATGAAGAGCGCAGGAAAAAGAGGAGGAAAAGTAAAAAGACACTTACATTCGACGAGAATTTGAGGTACTCAAAATGAAAATCCTAAGAGTTCAGCAAACTGGCAACTGACCTTTTTGTCATCTGTCGGGAAGCCGTGGCAAGGAGGTGAAACCTAACCTTGTGCATTTGTAGCATCTAGTGTCGAAGTGTTCAACACCTTCGGTAAGATTAATGAACGTCTATGATAATGAATTCCAGAAAAGCGCAGAAGACGGGCGTTTGAAAAGAAGGCAAGCCTATTTCGTCAGCCATTTCTACCTACGTGCCTCGAGTGTTTGCACTGAGAGGGCTGGGCATCTTGAATTACCCTCTTTTGGGTGTTTATTCCGAGGGGGTTTTGTCCGAGATGGCATTAGATTCCTGAATCGTACTTTTTTTTCAAACAAATGAAAATAATTTACTATGACAAAGATAGCCTAGTTAGCTAGTTGATGATAGATGGCAAATAATAAGTAAAATCTTCCCAGTGAAAGCCATGATTTCAAGTGACTGCATACAGTAGGTGTGCTAAATCACGAAATGTTAACCGAAATTCTGAAATGCGTCTCCGTCTTGAAAAGAATAATTAAGTAGTGTTTTAAAAGTTATCATCATGCGGAATAATTATAATGCTTCAGATACCTTGGGATGCCGGCTTTCGAACAAATATCTTTCGGCTGCATGCAGAAATGACGCTCTGTAAAAATGACCACTTAAGTAGCGTGAACTTTTCTCAATAATTTTCAATGTCCGTAAAAATTCAATTATATCTCACGGAAAAAATGCTAAAAACTATTAATTTTTTGCCCATTCTGTAGAAAATTACGTTTTCTTCAATTTTTTTCACTTGAAGGAAAGGTATAATTTGGTTTCAAAAAGTTTCCAGTTATGAGATTTTTCTATACCGTAAAAGGCCTGTTCATAAAACTAAGTGCCGTCGCATTTACTAGTGCTGCTTGTAAAGTTTAAAATATGGCTCAAATCCACTGCTTAATTTTATGAACTTCATATAGCTTCCTCTTATTACCGTAGAGAAATGTATGGTTTTCCGTAGGCAGAAAGTATATGGTTTGTAGTTTGGAAACCCTGAATGCAAGTTTAGTGGCAGATCGAGTTCAAAATTATTCGGGATTAGGAAAGGATTTTGAAAACCGAATTTCACCCTTTCTTTAAGTTTAAAAATTGAAAAAGACGTAATTTTCTACCGAATAGGTAAAAGAATGAATATTTTAAGCATTTTCTCTACGAAATATAATTGAATTTTTAAGGACATCGAAAATCAGTGAGAAAAATGCATGCTACTTAAGCAGTCATTTTCTACAGGGCGTGGTTTTTGCATGTGACCGGAAGGACGTTCGTTCGAAAGCCGGCATTCAGAGGTATCTGAATTCTTATGGGATCATGCTGCATGATGATTACTTTTAAAACCAATCTTAAGTAATCTTTTCGAGACGAAGACGCATTTCAGAATTTCGGTTAACATTTCATGAGTTAGCACACCTACTGTATGATTTATTAGGTTAGGCAATTGATAATACACAAAAAACCCTATGGGTATTTAGTCCGAAGGTCATGCAGAGCTTCCTCGTACTAAACACCCAAACCAGGTTAGAGGGAAATTGCACGCAAAATCTCCAGACACCTCACGACGACATAAAGCTATCAGATAGCGTATAACAGACTGTTTCCCGTGAGGTGTTGGCAGTTGATTTCAAAATCAGGTGGGCATATCTTTTCTTTTGAAATATGCGTAAATGAAAAAGCATCATGCACTTCCTCGTTTACACAGCGCTTATCGGCTGTTTCTATGATGCTGTCATCGGGGTGATATTTTGCGTCAGCAACCCACAGTAAATGAGTTCTGGTTCGGGCGTAGGAATCGGCAAGTGCGCAGTTTCCTTAGAGAGGTAACCTTGCTGTCACGTTAGTCCCGATGCCCACTCACATTCCTAACCGGCTTCACCTAGAATAACTGTTGTTTTTTGGAGAAAAAAGATGAGGTGAAATCGAGTCCTCCTCCCCGGATCCAGCGCACAGTTTCCTCTCTAAAAACAATTCAACGGACAAAGCAACTACGTCGGAGAAACTGGAAGACTGCTCCGAACGCGAATTGCCGAACACGCGGCAGCGGTACGGAGGAATGACGTCAACTCTCAGGTCGCGGCCCATTCGACGAGACCCGGCCACACATTCAAGTTCGATTAGGCCGAAATTCTCGCGAGAGGGGATAATCGTGTGAGCCGCGAGTTGCTTGAGTCATGGTTCACGGGACCTCAAGCAATCAACAAGTGCAACGACATGCCCACTCCATAATGCGTGCTGAGGCATAGGCTAGCCAAGGTAATTGACCACTCGGGGCGCGCGCAAGCCGGTGAGCCAGATGGCCGAGCAATCATCACGCCAGCAGCCAACACGGGTAATGACATTTCGGTAATTAACAACTTGCATGCCGGCCAGCAAGCTATTAGCGCACCAGCGGGCAACGATCCTTCATGAAGGGGAACGCGGTTAATTGCTATAGGTATGCGGTAGCATAGCGACTGTATCCTATAAATACTGCAGCTTCCTGTGCACGAGTCACCCTTTTCTGCTACTGTCTCTGATGATGGATTCAAGTGAGAATCCGAAACGTCAGGCCAATAAAGACCTTGTTCCAGCGATCGCTTCTTCTTCTTCTTCTTCTTCTTCTTCTTCTTCTTCTGATCAATCCAACGTCTTTTAGGCTATCAGAAAACGCTAGAGATCCAAATTCGGAAATACGTCAACTGGAGAGGCAAGTCGATCGTCCGCTGGGATGAGAGGCAGGCCGCAATAACTTCTTCCAAATGAGACCTTCGTGGCAATTCTCTTCGAATAGGTGCCCGAAATCCACACATCAAAGGCTGGTTCATATGTCGTTAGGAACCAATCCCTGCGCGCAAGCTCACCTCCAATCGCCTTGACCCAGTCTTGCCGTGAAGGGTGCAATAAAACCTGAACGGATAGAGGAGCCGGAGATGCGCATTTAAAATGAGAGTCCAGTTATGCGTGAAAATGACAGATGGCACAAAATTCACTGGCCACTCCGTCGCTAAACAGACAATTTACCTCGTGCTTCCTAGTCTGACTGAATTCAACAAAATTTGGAGTCCTGGCAGTGTTACAAAAAAGTATCTTTGAATGAAAAGGACCCCAGAGTAGGTTCGTGTGACTTAGGCATGCAAATGTAGACATTTTTTCTAGGTATAACCGTCTGCTAGCTCACATCCAAATTAGAAAACCGGCTTCTGATGAACTTACCGTTCCTACGGAAGCATTCAAGGCGGATGTCCAGCCTGAAAACAGTATGACCCAGGTAAAGACATCACAAAACCGGGTTTTCGGCGATCGATACCAGGCCATAAATGCAAGATAGCCGGTAACTGAGCTGCTAATCAGGACGAAAATGCCCGTCAGTAGGAACCACACTCTAGAAATGCAGATAAAATGTTCTCGTAGACAGTAAATTACCGACATACACGTAAATTGGACACGGTTAATTAATAACATAAGTCGTAATTACAAAATGCTGGATGACGGCTTTCGTAAAAACAATTAAGTGGAGACGAGGGGTGTTGGGCTCTCTTGTTCTCCTTGACTACCACCAGGTATAAGCCTGACTGTAATTTAAGCAGTGACATCACGCGTTATTCAAAAACGGGAAAAACTCCTGGAGAAAATATAGGATGCGCACTAATCAGTAGTGATTGCAGCGCAGTGACCAGTTGCGCCGACGTTACTTGTGTTGAATCTTTATATACATTAGACACTCAAAAATATGTGGAACATTCGTGAAGCCTGTATTTAACTGTTCCTAAACACGAGATTAAATTGTGCATGAACCTCCAGGGCTCGTAATACGTAGGACAGGAGTTGTTTTGACACCTGGGGAGGTCACTCTTTAGAGGCTAGTGTGAACATAGCGTAAGCTCATTTGGAGTTATTGGGATAAGGAATATTGCTTCGGTTTACGTTTGTAATATTTACAAGGAAAAATTCTAGAAACAATCGCTTAAGATGGAATTGCTTATCTGGCTATTTGGTTATTTGCCTGCACTACACTGACAACTCTTCTGATGCTAGATACGGCAAGTAACTTAGCCAGGACATCAAAAACAAAAAACGTCATTCGGAATATCGTGCCTGTGGACGGACCAGACAATAGACTGGACGTGCATTTCGTGACCGAGTATGCTGTACACGAGGCAGAGCTGTATTTCGTGAAGTTCTGGCGGATTTTGAGGTAGTTACGAGAGGTTTAGACATTATACAGGAAGGAAAGATGGAGGCCAGCCGTTTGTTCTCGGGAAGGATCATGGTACTCTAAGGCAACTTTTAAAAAGCACAAAAGTCTGCTACTATTGAAATAAAAAGATTGGACTTGTGCGGATGACCTTGCTTGCAGCAAAGCAATCAGAGAACGATATCTGCAAGAAGACCTCAGTTTTTGCAGAACGTAAGAATACTAGATGTCCGGATACAAGGACATGCAACCTGTCAGATAGCTGATGGTCAAGTAGGTCTCTAGGCTTAGGAAATGCTGGACTGTGCGAAATAAAAACCGATATATTTGCCTGTTTTAATCAATAACAAACTTTTTGACATTCAAAAATCCTGATAAATAGACATACAGTTGGCGCTAGGCTACCTTTATTACGAGGGTTCCTATTTCCGTGACCTAATCTCAACGCTGCCCAGACACAATCTCGTATGGTTCGTCGGTGAGCAACGTTTAAGCTTCATTGTGACACTGTAAGAATCGACGTAAAACCTCCAATTAGTTTTACTGGCAGAAAAGGCAATATGCGATTTACCGATTATTCTTTCCAACACAATTGTTCGTCACTGGACAGTGGTGGTCCATGACATCCACGCAGCGGTTACACTGACCGCAATGCTTAGCTCGCAGTGGCTTTACACATCCGCAGGTGTGGCAGAGTCGTTGAGCTTTCTGCCTCAGTGTGCGTGCCCGCTTCCTGAACGCACGCAGATCGAGGGGACACACTTGTGGTCGGCCTTCTGCGTCTTCTACCGACGGGAAGGGTATTAATGCAAGTTCGCGGCTCTCTAAAAGGATCTTTACGACAGATGTCAGGTAGCCAGCGCCGTCAGATTTTGTATGAGCAGGGGCCAGAAAAGGAAGGGATATACGCAGGGAAGCAAGTTTCGGGAAGACCAACTACATGCATCGAATTTTATTATAATCTTCGCGCTATAGGATTGAATAGGCCCAGAAATCCCACGCAGCGTGGTATGTGGGAATTATTAGCCTGGAACTTTGCTGCGGGGTTTTAATTTACACTAACGGTTACCGTCCGCCTAAAAAATTAGCTAAGTAGAATAATTTGATGTGAGTTACCAGCGTTTCACCCCAGTTTGCTGCTAAGTGGACCGTGCGAGTTTCACTCCCTGGAGCGATGATCGACTATTTGAAACGAGTCTGATAATTTGGATAAATTCCAGCTCTGAAGGCCAAAAGGGCGTTCTTTTTCGCGTTTTCGGAAAACCTTCTTTGCAGACCACTTCATGTAGTGTGTACCCCAGAGGAATAGTAACTATTGCAGATAACAGCGAAGATGCGCTTTCCTGAAGACAAGGAGAAGAACGGATTCCCGGAACTGAAAGTGCATTACATTGACATTTGGAAGGCAAAAGAACTTCCATCCTCGTCGGAAGAGGATGGGATGACACCCAACCCCACAGTATGTGAAGATGTTTGTGGCAACACTGACTGATTGTTAATCAAAGACAACTCACGTGGCTGTGTTTTCACGTGTCACATCGGCCGTAAACAGTGAAATGGAACCGAGAAGAGCGCAGAGGGGGCTGTCACTCTGCGAAATACAACCACAGACGACTTTTTAAGTGGCGACCACTGTCACCACAATTCCCGCCTTAACTTTGTTCACTGTGCTTGTATATGGCCTAACTTGGACTCATTTTGTTGACTGAAAATCTATTTTCTCCGGCAAATCTTGTCGTTTTCTGTATTTAATGTCCTTTTCCTCGTCGTAGTCGGCCAGTGAAGGAATCAAAACACAAAATATAAATACGCAATTCCTTTACTTCTTCCCATTTCAACGATCTCCGATTTCGTGCCAGCAGTTCTGACGTCTATGCAACTGCCGAAAATAATTGACACTTATTTATCGCTGATTTGAGGTATCATGAGTAAGGTTCCTGCAGAGACTACAAAGCACAGAAAATTAATAATTTCGAAAGTTGGTTTTATGTGGCCTGCAGGTCTAGTAAGCATGTATCATTTTTAGGTTTAACGTAGGACGAACTGAATCCGTCTTGTAAAACAAATCTTTCCAGATGCTCAAGTTCCCATAGTCCAGACTAGAAGAAATTATTATTATTCTCAAAAACACTGCCTAGTTGGACTTCTTGGTCTGGACGATAAATGCTTTCGCCGCAACATGTTCAAATAATGCACACGAACGTACGACTAGGCACCTATCCAAACGGATGCAAGAAGCATACTGCCTATCTAAGTCAAGGCATGCAAAACTCCATCTTTTGCGCATTTGTGGCTCACATTGTAGATGCCTATTAAGCATTTCGAGTCATCTATAAAATACTAACGAGAAATTCCAAGTTCATGGTCAAGCGGAAACTTGCGTCGGCAGAGGCAGTTGTTACACGATTAGCCAACCCAACCTTGTAGTCTCAGAAGGAGCTTTTACAAGCCATCAAGCTCCCCTGGCCGAAGCAGAGTCCAACACGTTCGTTCGCGCAGACTGGGACATCGCGCTACATAAGACATAAGCACAGCTCACTGTCAGACTCTGCCCTATCTCCTTCCACCTCCCCACGCCTCTGACGGAACAAGACTATAATTACCACTGGTTCTGACATGCCTGTACTCCCCTAACTCTCTCTCTCTCTCTCCCATGATTACTGTTCACTGGCCATTTGTCGACTTACGTTGCTTTACCGTAACTTATGTCACTGTACAGGCCTGTAGCCAAATAATCGAAAAAACATCTCTGTCAAATGTGACTTCTTCAATGTTTAAATGGGTATCACGAAAGGACATAAACTCGAATTATGCTTGGACAGTGAACCAGTTATGAAAAAACCTAGTGGATTTTTTTAACACGGCTCACATTGCATTTTAAAGAAGAGGACTACTATATTCAAACATAGTTGCTGACCCTGAAAATAGGTTAAGCCATGTCTTGCCCTCGGGCCATTTGTGCGAAATCGTTTTCTAGCATACATATTACATAAGCGTTGGAAGAACCCGGACTATGAGTTACAGGACTTTAGACTAATTCACGACTCCTCCAGAATATTTATTTTTTCAAGACTTCACAAGCAGTATTGTTTGTGAAGTTGATCACGTATGCCGCCAGTGGCCTGGTGAAGTCGAACGAGCTGTAAGAAAAGTAAAGTCGAATGGAGACGAAACAGGGAGGATTTACGAAAGAAGCCCGAAGAGATAAAGTGGGAAGTGGATCAGGAAACCCGGGGATTTTGCACACCAACCTAAGTACACGCACAATGTGTCAATAGAAAATGCAATTTAGAAAGCATGCAAACGTTCCAACTCCGAAAATTAAATTTATTAGAGGGTAGCTAGAAAAGAACAACAGGCACCTGGAGGGCTAAAAACGAACGCGTCCGCCGAAGATACTTTCCTGAAATGCTGGCTGAGCTTAAAATCACGCAAGTGTGAATAGGTTAGTCAGCATAAAGTTTTTACTCAAAGGCAAAATTCTCATTTCGATGGCAGCTGTGCGTTTTTACGCCAGTGCATCAGACGAGCATGGAAGCCAAATCTATTAGCTAACGAAACTACCTAGAAAGGGAAAGTATTTACTTATGCCAAGTGCCGTCTAAAGTTCTTTCCAGAAGTTATTCGGCCTGAATAAAAAAGGCTGTACGAATGAATTATCCGGAGAAGACTTAGCTGTTTAATGAACAAAAGAGGACTTCGTTAAATGCTGTTCATGTAAAATACGCTGTTGCAAGTTCCGTGGACAAGAAGGACTTTTGTTGGCAGTTAAAAGGTAAGCACGTCCACACATGACAGAGACAAGACCAAGAGAACAATTTGCGAACCTTTTGCATAGAATCTTCGTATTCGCTTGTATCCTGCGGTAAGTAACCTGGATCTGTTACACATTCTTTGAAGAAACACACCCAGAGGATGCAGTTGACCACGAGGAAAACGATTTCCTGTTGGGGACTTAGTCTGACAACTGTGTTCCTCACCTGATCAAGTATCAAAAATCCCATTTTAATTAAAACTCAGCGAGAACTATGTTTTGTGGTATAACGTAGCCCAGGAAGGTGCACAGTTAATTTTACTTTTACCGGGAGCTGTGAATAGTGACTTACTGCTCAAAATCCCAGAAGAGGAAGGTACTGTATGTTTTTATGGATAAGAACAACTGATAGCAACGCAGTTCTTGGCTCAATATTTCTTAAGGGAGTTCATAATGCTGGAGCGTACTCCGAAGCCAATTTCCAAAACAGGTGGCACCCTAACCTTTCTTGAAGCAATCCTCCACCCACCTGCATTTGTAGATCCTATGCAAGGCTGGTTAAGTGGTTCATGCATTCCTGATTTATTTCAGAGGCATAAGAATGTTTCATAGGATTAATGCATAAGGGATGCATCTGCGGCAGATGCGCTAACTCATGAAACATTAACTGAGATTTTGAAATGTTTTTTCGATTCGAAAAGATTACCAAAGTAAGGTTGTAACATTAAAGATCGCGCAGCTAAATACCAAGATATTTCAGTCATATTAAGATACCGATTTGTGAACAAGCTGGTCTCCAGCCACCTGAGCAAAGTATACTCCGTAAAACTACTGAATTAGTCTAAGCTGTCACCATTGATTTTCAATGTTCCTAGCAGTTCGAATATATTTTGTGGAAAGCATGCATAAAATATTCGTTTTTTTGCCCAGTCAGTAGTAAATTACGTTTTCTTCAAGTTCCATACCCGAGGGAAGGGCAAAACTCGGTTTTAAAAATGCTTGAATTCTCGAATAATTGTGAACCAAATCTGTCCGTTACACTTGCATTCAGGGTTCCATAACTACAAGCTGTATATTTTCCGTATAAGAAAAGCCATACATTACTGTAATTTGTCATGCAGATATAATATGAGGTTCACGAAATTTTTAATTAATTGGGGTCACATTGTAAACTTTAAATGCGACATTAATAAATAAAGAGGCACCATGTTTTATGGACGGACATCCCAAAGTCTTAAAAAACGTCATGATTGGAAAGTTTTTAAAATCGCAAGGTGCTATTTCTTGAAGCATAAAATTTAAAGAAAACTTAATTTGCTACCAACTGGGCAAAATGGCAAATATTTTCGTGTATGCTTTCTACCAAATATATCGGAATTTATAAAGGCATCTAAAATCAACGATAAAATGCACGTTACTTAGGTGGCCATTTTTTACAGAGTGTAGCTTTGCAGGAGACTGAAGGGAAACTCGTCCAAAAGCCGGAATTCTGACATGACTGAAATTGTATGGGATTATGTCACACGATTATTAATTTCACAACCTTGATTCAGTAAGCTTTTCGAGTCGAAAACGCATTTAAGAATTTCGGTTAACATTTCATCCACCAAGAATTCAAGTTTTGTTGGCTCGTGCACATGGGAAAGAAAAGGGAACGAAGTCACTATAGCTTGAATGAAGCGCTCAGTGTCCTCACTATACGTAGCCGAATGCGTTTTGAATGGTTGCTCAATGAAGATATAACCTAGTTCACTGCCAGACGACAGAGCGACGGTCATTTTTGTTTGAGACAGACGAACCATCTGTCTGCATCGTTTCTAAACTGCACGTCAAATATTCTCGTTAAATCAAAGTAAAACGACTCTTCATGTCCACAACAAGGGACATTTAATGCTCATATTATGTTTCCACAGATATAGATTCCCTTGCGTAGTTGGTTAGTGGTATCAACGAACCCGACCCCCGTGGGTTATCCGAAGAATCATGCGAACGCCTTTTGAATTCTCGGAAGTGCAAGCCAAAAACTAAAATACTCCCTTATTTAGGCATCAACTCTGAGAAAGACACTTCTTCTGTAAAATTGGCCTAAGGAGTAAACATTTTGTCCATTCCTTATACAAAATGTTTGACTTTACGTAGACATGGGAATAAAATACGTAAGTGCTGAATGATTTCAAGTGTGGTTTTCTCAGACAGATGGAAGATGCTCAAGTAAAAACAAGAACGCTACCGTGTAGCAGTTTAATCATGAGTGAATTCCGCGTTAGTAAGTTCCGCAAGTTCACCAAAGTAATATAAAGGTAGAAACTGAGGTAAAACGACCATTAGGTGTAGAACCACTTAAAAGACTGATTATTCTTACTCTGAGCCGGAATAATAGCATCCAATATACGGAAGCGGTTTTTACTAACTGTAGCACGTGAATGGACATAAACCAGTTGACCGTTTACCATTCCCGAAAATATATTCCTTAATCTTATTTATTTGTTCAATTTAATAGATACAGTTTCACTTCGATGACCGCCACTGTAAAAGAATGAAAGAGGAGCGAAATTATTCGAAGCCGGAGTAATGTGTCCCATCGGGAAAAAAATGACTGAATTTCAGCCCCCTGTCTGTCGCAAGCGGTTACTTTCTAGAGAACACGGAGATAAAATTTATACTATTGGGCAAGTATGGTCTATATAAGTTTACTGGTAAGATATTTTTGGTTTAGGCTCTTTCTACAGTAGGACCCATTACCCCATAAATTCCCTTAAACCCGTGTTTCAAAAAGCCATATCATGGCATGCACCTTCTTTTCTCAGTGGCGTTTCTGGTTCCAACACCAAAGCGTAGCGGAGTACATCGAAATTCTCGGTAGTTTATAGGACAGGGGGAAGATTTGGTATTAATAACAGACCCTGGTAACGGATGATTTCATAAGTCAAATTTTTTAGCACTGCTGAATACCTACAATGAGGATCAGTCTGATAAAGCAGCTAAAACCCTTTGCAAGCATAACTCATTGAAGTGAAAGAGGGCCATCAATTACTCATCAGGCATCCAATTTTTGGATCCATTTGGCTAAGTACCCCCAATTCTAAGTTTCATAGGTAGAAGGCGATCATAAAAGCTGCAAGTGCTGCGCTTAAGTTTGTGAGAAGTCACCCAAAATTACTGTTCAGCTGAAGATGAGGTGAGGAAGGAAGGCAGGCATTACTCTAGCGCGCAGCCAATATCTTTCCGTGACTTTTCTTTTATGGGATAGGACTTTTATCGAATAGCACTTTAACAAAGTTGAAAGTGGCTGTGTACGGCGAATGCAAAAATTAAAGCTATAGATAAACTCAATGACTGCAGGGAGTTGCTGGGAGCCAGATTCAACACTAGATTCCTGGATGCAGAGGATTCGAATTCATTTTTAAATAATTACGCAAAACTCAACTAGTCATGTAGGTCCATGCCAGGGAACATTCAGTAAACAACATGGACCGAATTACATAATCAAACCTTACATACGTCGGGAAATCTAGTTTTTCACAACAAGTGCTAATGGTGACAAAGTTTCCTACCTTCCAGAGACGATGTGGGAAAATTAAAAAGTTGGTAGCTCTTGAGAGAAATTTCGACGTACACGGAACCATAAATAGGGATAAATCCAACCGAAGGAAGCCAAGAGCATGTAGGCAAAAATTACTCTTCGACGGCCCGGAGGTCCCAGAAAGAAACTCCTGAAAATGGATAAAAAAATCATCCTCACTGCCTAATCTATCGATCGCTATAGGGTACAACATCATTGCTAGCTCTACCGTCCCGCTTGGTCTTGACTTCTAAAGTTTATCCTTTGAGCTAGTCTTTCAGGTTAAATGTGTTCTTTGGTTTTAAGTCTCCATTGCAGATCTTCGTCTATCACAAAAATTAGAAACAGTATTAGTGGTCTTTGAAAGTGTGCAGTTGACTGAGGAAAAAACAAACCGGAAGTTAATATTTCATTCATGACAAAGCTATCCCAGGTTAACAGGTCGGTATGTATGCATATGACGAGAGATATGTAGGGGGGCGCTATTTCGCTTTATAAATAAGAAGAAAGGTGATTCAGGAACGGGAATAAATGTATTCTACAATTTCAATAAGAAGCAGTTGTGCTTTTGATGTAGAGCGCCGAAATATGACACCCACCTCCAACAGAAACCCAGTCAACTCTAGACAACTCACCGCATTTGGAAGGCCACGGAAGATCCACCTGAATCTACATCTTGTCCAACATGGTACCTATGTTTATAGTAGCGTACCACTTCGGCTAGTTCGTAGTAGCCGGAGCACGCTGCCAAGTCTTCGGCACTGTCTCCCTCATTGTTCCTATCGTCCAAGGTAACAGCGTGTGGATACATATAATGTTCAAGACGCTGACAGTCCGTTCTCAGGTGAAAGCCAACGGAGGATCGAAAAATGCCGTGAAGCATCGCCGAGGCGGTTGACAATTTGCCATTAAAACAGGCCAGATGGAGAGGTGTGTTGCCTCGTCCATCTCGAAACGAAAATGCCGGCGGATAAAAGCGAAGGAGGAGACTGCAAAGATTCGCATTACCTTTTGCAAGAGAATGTAAAAGGCTAAACTGCATGAATATGGGCGTTAGGCTTAAGATCTATTTGATCTTCAGGTAATTAAATGAGAAATATACCGGAAATAACTACTTTTTGGACATTTTTATGAAAACTAAAGGAAAAAGTAGGACATATAATATACAGGGGAATGCTGGCAATTTTCAATGGGTCATATTTTATAGCATCATAATAAACGGCAGGATAATGGCTAAGACAGGTCAAAAACTCCCTTTTGGTACTATTTCAAAATCATCAGGACTATTTCTTAAGAAATCTCAGCGGCGAATGAAATAATAGGGGTAATCGCAGAATTGCGAGCCTCAAAAATGAAGTCTGCCAATTGAAAAACAAACGAGTTATGTCATCGTTTCACCTTGTACTATACAAAGCAAACTCCGTCACATAAGCAAAGTAGGCAACTATGAGTAGGAGAAATAATTAAACGACTAAATATTAAAGCGAAATTACCTGAAGATGCTGCAAAGTGCAGAGCAGTGCGCTGGCGAAAATCTAGCGCAGTGGCATCGGCTTCATAAAGCAAAAGGATAAGTGCTGATTCTGCGTCCCCAGCTTTGGCAGCTTAAGATAATCAGAGAAAACGAAACGCATCAGCCAGACATCAAGTTTTATGAAGACAAATTCCTAGGACAGAATATTGAAAGAGCGTTTAGGTTCACCGACGTCTCATGGGACCACACACACTGATATGTAAATGTGGATAGGTCATTTCAGTGTTTACGAAAACGCCAACTCAAAATGTAGTTTTGAAATAGACCAACAACGAATTAGGTCGCGCTACGCCTTCCCTTCATCGTCTTTCCGATATTTCTGTAGTACCTATCAGAAATTATTGAGCTGCAATCTCATACAAAGTTCCTCTCTACAGTGGCAAGGGGTAACGGGAAATTTGACGTGCACTGATGCAATCTTCCCTGAGATCGCCGACGTAGCTAGTCATCGGATACCTTTTAACACTTATTAAGATGCCTTAGTTCGTACAGACCCATTCACGTACGAGTTTGTTGAGCTTGGCTACCGGCAATGTTTATTCGCGTTGACGTTTCACAGGGGTTTGCATGATGGTCATTACACAAATAGTACATATGGATCAGTTTCAACTTACTGACATTTCAACACTGAGAACATAAACTGTGTTGTTCGGAAAGAACAAGTTTGTAAAAAAGAAATTTAGTTACGGCAACTGCCCAGATTATATGACGAGTCTCAGAGTAAGTGTGAAGATAAAACATTCGAAGTTTAGCAATTTTAACGTACTTCTTCACAACACAAACCAAACGCCACGGAGCGAATTAAATCAACGATCGCACATTGCCGAGGGCGTAAAAAGCGGACGTTCTAAGCGGTGTCGCATGAGTGCAGAAAGATGTTCAAGCGACAGCTTTAAAGTGAAGCTGTTATAGACGGGCAAAACCGGGTTCCATCCTCTACCTGATCCGTGGGCATGCCCACAGCCAAACAACTAGCCTCATAATCTAATTCCACAGTCTTGTAGCCAAATAGTGCCTCTAGAAGTTCACTCGCTCTTTCTATGGTAATATAAAAACATACTTTTTACGTTCTTGCAGATAGTGGCTTTTTTCGACGTTAGTTTATGTTGTTCGCAGGCTTTAAGTAAAGATATGAAGTGCTACTTGGCTGAGTTACGCAATTTGGCCCACGCTCTGTCATTGGTTCTCTCAGGTTTCTGGAAAGCATTTTATCCATGCGACCAGCTTCCTATATGAACTCAGAATAGAAGACAGACGAAATTCGTTAGTATGGAAGGTGCCCATTTGGATAATGAGCGCTGGAAAGTATGAGAGAGACCGAGGTTCGAACCCAGGTTTTTTGCCATTGAAAACTGTGCGGTCCAGCGTTTATTTCATTGCATTAGGAATGTTAAAGGGGATACCGCAGGAATCGTAAGATATTTTTTCTAAAATATCGCAAACTCAAACACCCTGGGATAAAAGAGCTCACCAGCTTCGGATTACATTATCAGGCGTAACTCGGAAAACATGCCTAGAAGGATAAACATATTAAACAAATGTGGACAGGCGGTAAAAAGAGCAAGAACATTACCAGTCAAAACCTGTTGTGGCTGAAGATTTTAACATTCTTCCATAAAAACGAGTTAAATGGCGTTTAAACTTCAAATAATGGCGGACTGCTTGCAAATATTGAATGTATAAAATTCTGACGTAACAGCGTACAAAATCTGCCCCTCTAATTGTGATAAAGTCAAGAGACATGCACGTATATGCTTTTTCCTTATGACATTGCAGTGCCAATAAAGTGTTTCACTATGGAATAAGATAATAGGAACAATGGAAGCCTGTCGCTGATGTTTAAGTATTTCTTTAAGTGAGAAAATCGGTCAGAAGTGGCATGCGGTAGTTCACGTTCATGATAGTTTAGGCGAAGCTGGAATACGTTGCTGAACAGTGCGGCCCAGGTGCGGCTTCGGCCGTGCCAGCCTCCAAATCTCTGTTGCGTTGCTTGAAATCCTGGTCATTTGTTGTGTGGACCAAGGGGTGTGGTGGAACGCCAAGGTGAGGATCCGTCCGAGCCATCCACCTGCGGCCTCCCTCGTCTCCAGTCTTCTTGACTCTGTCTTGGCACCGGGCCCAGGCGGGGAGGAGAGAGTGTAGGTAGATGCAGCGCAAGTCTACCGGCACTATAAACCCCTGCGCAAGTCACCGTCCCTGCTCCCACCTGCTGTGGGGCACACGGTGGACATCATCGAAATCGATGGTCGAACTGTCGTATGTGTGTGTGTGTGTGTTGTGCCCTCTAAACGGGCCACGTGTTAGATGCGCTGGACCAATACGGCGGCCACATCGTACTCTGGCAGGCGTTATCTGTGCGCAATAACAAATGCCAACATTTGCGGGGTGTGCTGGCAGACCCTGTTGTCGGCAATCGTCGCACAACTGGACCACTGCCTCCACCCCATTGTTTTTGTGGTCAAAATCCTGGTCATTTGTGTGTGGACCAGGGGGTGCGGAGTGGAGCGCTAAGGCGAGGATCCGTCCGAGCCATCCACCTGCCGCCTACCCCATCTCCGGTCTTCTTGACTCTGTCTTGACACCGGGCTCAGGCGGGGGAGGACGAAAGTGTAGGTAGATGCTACGCAAGTCTACTGGCACTATAAACCCCTGCGTAAGTCACCGTCACTGCTCCACAATGCAGTCTGTGGGGCACACGGTGGACATAATCGAAATCGATGGTCGAACTGTCGACATGCAGAAAATGAAGGTAACCTTTTCCGACACACTGCAGACAATGCAGACTGCGCAGGCTAAGCAGGCTATGCAAGTCTCTTCTAGAGAGAGAACATTTTTCCCTGATTGGCCCTGTGTACCGACGAGGCGTACAATAATTTCGTTGGTCAGCCGTCCTCCAAGGACATTTTAAACAGGGAGCGGTACGTTAATGGTCATATGTAAACGGTAATGGCGCTTTCTACGTGAAACGGTTGTCTGTTTTTGGAGGGCGGACGAAGAGAGTTAGTTAGAAATATCCTGACCATTCTACCTAGTCCACCGTTATGCCCTAACTTCTGCTGGCACGGATCCACTAGTAAGGGATCGTTCGTGGACTGTCCCCTGTATGTCGTTATCACCGGTTTTAAACACATACAGATACCCTTCGGCAGAACAGCAGCTTTTGTAACTGCACTGTGGGGTTGTCCAAAAAACGGCCATTGACTGGCTTTGTGGAGACAGAGGCAGGTATGGAGGCATATCTAGACGCTAGCAGACTGCCCAGAAGGTAACACAGTTGTTTTGATTTACTCCTAAAATTCAGCTACCACGTTGTTCCACTGACGCTATGGACTGCCCAACACTGTCACCTTCAGGAGATACGGTAATTAAGTTTACATAAGCGCCATTAATAGTTTCATTGCCGCTTACTTCATTCTTACCCATATTATTGCAATAGTCACGTTATTCCACTGACTAATCTATGCATAACGTTTTCTGCAGTAGGTGAAGGTGTTGCGTGGTGTTTAAACTAGTACATTTACCTATGCATTACTAACCCGAATCACAATTATGCCACGGTAAACTAATTAAACGTTTCATTTGCTTACAGAAGTCAAGTATTGAAGTACCTGCGCAGCAACAGGTTCATAATGTACACAGACCGTGTCGCACTTTCTCAGTTATCAGAAACATTCATGAACGGTATATATCTTCATTCGCGATATCGATATTCATCATCTTGGCAACAAAACTGTGTTTTTTTAACACTAAATACCAACCGCCTTCTGTTGGAAGTGAACGGAATAGATCGAGGTTATGACCTCGTAGACGTTGCTTTAACACATTTAGGAGTTGCGTCGTTACCCATGGCTTGCGGGTATATCATGCTCGGCGACATTCTCAGTAGTCAATATAGGGCAAAAAACGAGTGAAAGGATAAGACCCCTCTGCGCGCTTTTTTCAGTCAGTGGGCCGCGAGAGGTCAAAGTGTCCCAAGCAGCGCCATAGCCGCTCCAAGTATCGCCTTCCAGCTCGGGCATAAGCACCGCCATCGCCGTCGGCCAGAGGGCACTATCCGGGCTGGTGCTGGCAGGGGATTGCGCTTTGGGGATCTCTTACAGTAGAAGTTGCGTTTAAAGTTGTAGAGTCATAATTAAATGAATAAAAAAGAAAAGATGACCAGCTTCAAAAAATACATGCTACGACACTTCTAAATTTAGCCCCGGGGACTAGGCGGGGCCAGACGGGGCTGGTGCTAGCAGGTAAATAACAACGATCAAAACAGACGACCGGAAAGAAAATTACGGATATGGTTAAACTGTGTTGTGTTTTTTGGTAATGTAAGCCGGACGTCACGTGTAAAATAGCACAAGCATGGCAGTTGAATATTATACTATAAAGTGCCCACCCAAAAGTTAGCCCAAATAACAAAAATGGAAATGCGGTTTGTAGCAGTCGAATCTAAAAGATAGCAGCGAGACGTACCGTAATGTAAAGGTGTACATAGTTCACTATCTACGGCAACAACATCTCCGTCAGCTTGCAACAAGGAAAGTGTTGTTTCAAAACTTCTGTGAGAACAAGAAATGTGAATTGGCTTTTGCCCAAAAAAATTAAGGATTTCGCCGTCGGCTTTCAGATTTCGCAGGTATATCAAAGATTCAAGTGAATTCCACCGGGACGACCAGTGTAGAATCGTATTTCCAAGGGAATCGGCAGTTCGAATTATTTGAGGTTCTTCAGCAACCAGATTTTTTACACTTTTTAAGTCTCTTGAGAAGTAGTAAAATGTGGATGCGGCTACCCGTGTTTCACAGCTCTGAAGAGTTTTGCGGTATTTAAATTCCAATCGGCTGGCACACGACCATATGCAACATGCGTTTCCGTCACTCGTGGGGGCATAAGATTCCGCGGCATAGCTGAATAAAAGGCACCCAATACGAAAATGTGCCTTTTGTGGCGGCAGTAGCAACACGTAAACTGTTTAATAGTGCACGAAGACTACATGGGAAAATGCAGTCCGAAAGTTAGCGCTAAAATAAAACGTGCAGACTGATGAAAGGTAATACGAATAAATTATAAGGGCTATGTGTCATCAGCTCCATTTTCACTATTTTTTCAATTAGTTTGCAACAAATGCTTGTGAGACTCACTGGTCTGAAGCTAGTTGGCGAGGCCCTTTCCCCCTTTATGTATGGGACTGATGTTGGTTAGCTTCCAATCAGTAGGCAGGACCCCTGCTTCCATGGAACTTTCGAAGATCTTGGAGAGTGGGGAGGCTAGCTGATCTGAGAGTTCATAGAGATCTTTTGCGGATATAGCATGCAGACCCGGCAATTTAGTTGGCAGCACCCGTCTCAGAGTTTTCTTTGCTGCGTCTGCTGTGGACGTTACTGTTTTAATTGTATTTCCAGATGGGACAGTCTGCCGGTGTACTTTCTCATCAAAGGGTGGCTCCTCGGTATACACGGACATAAGGAAATCGGGTAAGAGTTTCGTCTTATTTGAGTTATCGGTTAACTTAGTTTCCCGATTATTCTTGAGATAAGGAATGGAGTCCCGATTATATTTTGCTCTATTCACGTAAGAGAAGAATTTCTTCGTATTTTTCGATATTCCTCTGACTATTTTTGACTCAAATGCTGCTCTTTCTCTTCTCAGGAGACTTCAACACATATTTTGCTTTTTCTTGAATTCCGAGAGATATTCGGACTGTTGAAATGTGGCGTATCTCTTCTACAGCCTCCGTTTCCTTTTGAGATTTCTCTTTCTTTCTGATGTCACCCACTGTGGTCGGGAGACGCACGATCCCCTTTTCAGCGGGCAGCAGTTTTCTACCAAGTACCAGGTCACGTTCTTGAAAAAAAACTCATGCGCAGAGTTCCATTCTATCTCAGTCAGCAGTTATTTTATTTTAGAATAATATCCTTTCCATACATTTGTCACCCTTTCGGTTCGAATTTCGAATACAGAAAAGTGACTGTACTCCCAAAGAAGAACGCAATGATCAGTTCGGCCCATTGGCATGGCAATGGTCTGTCCAAAGACACAGTTTTCATCCCTAGTAAGGACGAGGTCCGAACAGCTTTACTGCTGTTCACTTCGGAATCGGGTGTTTATTGTAACATATGAGTGCGGAATCCGTCACTGATCAACTGGAGTAGCTTCTGTTCGAATGAGTTTTCCGATAGCGTGCAGTTCATCCATTTCCAATCGATGTCCGGAGAATTGAAATCCCCGAGTATTATTACGTGTTTGCTACGGCTGATTTGTTTTAACTCTATGATGAGTTCACCGTCCGTGTCCTTCCACTGTCCTGGGGGTCTGTATACCAGAGCAACACGGAGGTTAGGTTGGTTTGGGACCTTCAATTTGCAACTAAGGATTTCACAGCCAATGTTCCCTTTTGATGGGGACCCATCCGTAACGTAGCTAATACCGTCCGTATGACCATCACGACTTCCTTATCCTCGCACCCATTTCGATCCGTGCGGATAAACTGAAATCTGTCCAGCATGAATTCTGTGTCTGTTATCTGCTTACTTAACCATGTTTCAGTTAGGGCTATAACGTCAGATTTCGAATGGGCAACGATCAGTTTAACAGCATCCATTTTGTTGAAGAGACACTGTACATTTGTGTTTATCATTATCATATTTTCTGGTTCTCTCGGTCTCTGGGAATTGTCTATTGCTTCTTGCGCCTGACAATGATTGCTGTACATTTTGCACGACATATCCTGTCCACTGTCTGTTTTCAAATTTACAAGTGTTGGATGGAACTGATGACTGGTGTTGTAACCTTCAGTTTTGACGGATGATTCCACAGAAACTTGCGCTTCGCTTTTATATTTTCGTTGTCTAAAATCTGTAGACTTTTCCTTTCTCAATCGGACGACTTTTCAGCTAGGTTATCAGCCTTCTTCTATTTATTCGCTCGATGGTAGAGCGGTGTGGCTGAAAAAACATTCCACGGCTGTTGATTCGTAGCTTGTATTTTCTAGACAAGATTAGATCTGCCTGCTGTTTGTTTTTCAAGTCGAATTTGAGTGGTCCTGGTCGCATCTCCTCTGTGTTGTCTCTAACTCCAGGCCTCAAACGGAAGACTGTTTGTATTTCATCCACCTCATCGTGTTCTTAAATGTCAGTTAATAAATTTTAGGACCTCAAAAGGTCCTGCTTCACCCTCATCTTTGGGATCTCGCCAGTAGCCTCACGGACTCCCTGACCTACCACACAAAGCGATATTTCCGGACAAAAAACATGTCTCTTTATCTTGCTTTGTTCTATTTATGGTGGTTTGAATCACGGACATCGGGTCTACCTTAAGTATTGTGCTTACACTGCTCTCAGGCGGAGAGTTCAGTGGTTGTTTCTCAAAAATCGCGTTGGATCTTTCAACCGTAGCTACTTCTTCTAAAATTCCGTCTGTTCGACTAGCGCCCGGCTGGTGCGTTCCTAGCCTTATGGCGTCCAGGTCTGTCGTCATGTTGCGCACTTCTGTGACGAACGCCTTTGCGGCTTTGCTTTGCCGCCCCACATGACTTTTTGCATCACAGTCCAATGGGCAGGCATAGAGAAAACTGCTAGCGCTCTCTCGTGGTTTAGGTAAATCCACACGATTACTGTCTACAATTTTTCTTGGTGTCGTCGATCGCTGCCTTATTTTGGTGCTGACGGACTCTGTATGCCCCGGATTTCCCAAACTTAGGGAAATGCGACAGCCAATTTCATCTCAGGCTGTTTTCTTTTTGTTCCCCTCTATTTTAATTGAATCAGAAGATTTGTCGAACGACTTCGTTCGTTGCCTCTTCTTGTTTCACTGTACGTGAGGCCCATCGCATTCCCCGGTCCCTTGAGCTGCCTGTGGTCCTGTTTATTGACGTTTTTCATATCTTTTGCATTATGTTCTGGAAGTTTAACTTTGTTATGCTTGAGGAGTGATGCTATTATTTCTGTGAGGAGATCGACGTCTACATCTAATCTCGAAACTCTGGTGGTTAGTTCCCGGCATCCATCACAGCGTGTCGACATTCCAGTATTTAACATATCTGTGTTCGATTTCAATAGCGCACCGCGTTTTTCAGGATTGGTAGTCACTGGTCCATCGTGCCCAGTTGAGAGCGAATCGAGTATCTCCCGCCGATTTTTATCACAATGAATGGAAAACGGTCTACAAAGGAGGGACATGTCGTTGTTTCCTAAGTATATATTATTTCTTTTTTCAGCCGGCTGTCCGGGCGTGGTCGAGTGGTTACGAGCGTCGGTTCTCGCTCGGGAGGTTCCTGATTCGAATCCCTTTCGCGGCGTCCAACATCTGTCGCACATAATAGGGTCGCGAACATTTGTATTTCCCATGCTAGCAAGATATCTTCGTGATTGCATTAAATTATAACGTGCAGCTTAAACTGGTTAATGGCTAGTCCACTGAGCACAAAGCAAGGCTTTATCCAAACGAAAGTCCGTATGAAATGTCAATTTGAAACAAAGTACGACTTAGCATTCGCAGGCAGCTTTTTAATAATCTTCGTCTTCTGTTGGTTTTCGACCACCTTGCTTACGGAAGGCTGACTTTGGAAACTATTTAGAGTATATCTTCGTAGGAATGCGAGCAAAACCAAGCCAGATACTTCGTTAAACTCCATATAACGATATTCTCAGGCTTGTGTGCCTCACTGAAGGAAGAAGGTATCACGGAAGGTATCGCGGATGATGTGATCCGCCAAAACGAAGATTAATTACACTTCTAAGCTAAATTCTCGGCTTATTTTTACAAGGCCAAACTTCTAAACTAGGTGGATGACCGAAATATCAAAACTCAGGGATACGAGTAAATTCTGATCGAATTCAAGCGACGCGGTTTCGATCGCGAATATACAGTGGTAGAGGGACGCTCATCGATCGTTCTTACGGAACTCACTAGTTTCGTTGTGCCTTACGGGCTCTTTCTAGCCCAACCAGCAGTTGCTCAGCGAACCCCAGGTGTTCCAAACTTCGGGGTTGGGTGATACTAGCTGACGACGGCTAATAAGCCAGAAATGGCCATTCCTTATTTTTGTCGGTAATGACATCCTGCCTATATCATGCGCTGCTGTGCGGCTGCTGGTTGGGCTCGAGAGAGAGTCCGTAAGGCACAACGGAACAAGTAAGTTCCGTAAGGACGATCGGTGAGCACCCTCAAGCCCTGCCCAAACCGCCGCGTCGATCGCAGCAGCGAACATCAACAATATCTCCACGCACTCCCCCGGCCGATGGGACGACGTCTGACGCCTCAGCAACTTCATAAATCACCACCATCTCCTCTGTTGACTTGGACTCGGTTCGCGCCTGTCCTCATTGCGATCGTCCATTCACCTCACGTATCGTACTGGTCAGTCAATTGCGAACCCAGCGCACGGAGGTTGGCGAACCTGTGCCTGAAGCATAAATCTACACTCACCGCATCCGTCTCGACTGTCCTCACTGCACCCACTTATTCACTAGCCGCATGAGCCTCTTAGGACCAATGCGAATTCACGAAGATCTGCAGTGGACAACCGCCGGCTACACCATACCATCGGAACTTTTCCACCAGCACCGGCGCCTCCTAACACCATCACTCATCACAGGCATCCAAATAACACCTCCCACGCAAGTGGGAAGTGTGCTTCTCGGCTCCTTCGTATGTAGCTCCTCAGCTGCATGTGTAATCCGAGGCTGAGACTATCACGATGCGCCAAATGTCATGGCTTGGAAAGCTGTCAAATGGTGCCTCAACTCGGTCCACCCAGTCAGCCCAGTCGTGTATGTGTTTGTGTGGGGTGGCGGACTGGCGGGCTGGGAGTCTGGTCGTCACGACTCCTTCTTAACGTGACATCTGACACTCTCACACGCATGTAAGCAGTGGCTCTAAGTCAAAGACTGTTAGGTTACCCAACCTTGTAGGGTGACGGCCCAGGCGAATGCAGGGTCATGAGTTACCCTTCTGGGCCTAAAGGCCTGTAAACTTCTGCTATGTCAGGAGCAGCAAACCATGGCCCTAACAGCCTTGAATGCGCTGGCCGTCCCCTGACATCTGGTTTCCTGCCAGTAGATGCGCTCGCGCCCCCTGGTTATGCAGGTCGTGAGCATGGTTACCTGATCCTCCTCCCCTTTCTGACCCGTTGTTGTGCTTTTGTTGGTAAAAATCCTGGCTAAGTGTTTAAAGTGGACCAGGGGGTGGGTGGTAAGCCAAGGTGCGTGGTCTCTAATCTCCTGGCCTGTCTCACCACGGACACTCTCTTCAGCCGGCCAGCGAACAACGGTTTTTTAATGCCTCTGTCTAGTCCAGTATCAATTTCATGTGAAAGAACTGAAACTGAAAATATCCGAAGCAGTTTTAACTATCCGACCGACGTCATTTCATGGGCAGCAGTTCTCTTCTCCGGAACCATCCAAACTACAAAAACACCATTCGCAATATTTAATGATAAGGATTTTTTTCACTGTTAGCCCAATCAGTGCTTAATTTTTCTATGACAGTGACTGTAAACTGGCATTAAATGCAATTACTATTACCATTGTTATGAAGAGGAGACTGGAAAAATTACGCCCGGCGCCAAAATCAGAACATTTCTTCGATTAAAAAATCTACGAACTATATACCGGCTTATGCTGAGGAAACGAGCAGTATATGAGTCACAAATAGTCAGAGGAATACCGGAAAATTCAAAGGAGTTCTTTGGTTTGAATGGGGCAAAACGCAGCCGGTCCCACATTCGGTGTCTAAAGGATTACTAGAGAGATGATGTGCGTGATAAATCTAGCAAGACGAACCTCTTATGAGATTTCTTCACGCCCATGTATGCCGAGGAGCCGACTCCCGATGTAAAAGTTTCCATAATTACCACATCTAGCAATATAATTAGCACTGTGTTCTTCATAACAGACAAGGTTAGGAGAATTTTGAGACAGGTACGGCTCACTAAATCGCCTGGTTGCAAGAGTCCTGAACGAACTCGTAGACCAGCCAGCTTTCCAACCCTCCAAAGTCTTCGAGATCGAAGGCTGAGGGCCTAATGACTGACGGGGAACAAGCCACCATTAGCCCTATGTATAAAGGGGGCGAACGAACCTCCCCAATAGCTTCAGTCCAGTAAGTCTCTCAAATATCCATTGCAAACTGATGGAGGAAATAGCAAAAACGGAACTAGTGTGATATCACGAGGAAAACAATTTACTTAGTGTGCGTAAGCATTGACCTAGAAGAGGTCGGTCCTGCCTCACTACGCTGCTTATTTCCATAGGGAGTTGGGCAACATCTGTTGACATTGGTTTAACAGTGGACGCAATGTACATTGACTTCAGAAAGGCCTTTGGCAGCGTTCCACACAGACAACTAATATTTAAGCTACTTCAAATGGAGATGAATGGAAGTCTACTGAAATGGCTGACCGACTTTCTCACAGGCTAATCTCAGTGCGTTTGTATTTGCAACGCTATGTCAGATCGGGCGACCGCTCATAGTGACGCTTTACAGGGCTGCATCCTGGCTCCAATTCCGTTTTTAATATATTTCACCGAATGGCTGGACCGCCTGAACTGCGAGCGAGTAATGTTTGCCGATTATCTCATGTTGTGAAAATTAATAGACAAGAGGGACGGTGCGACTGATCACGAACCGTCCGACAAAAATTACAGACCGGTCTTCGATCACACTGGAGTTCGATGTAGGGCTTCATACCCGTTGTTCAGGAAGAAGTAAAAACGACTCAAACGAGACCACGTGGAGGCCATGAAGGTGGCAAAGAACAACACGCCGTCACACAAAGTTCCATGGTTGAATTTTATTCGTTTTGCCTAGATTAAAGACAACTGCGCATATGCCTCATCTGGAACTACCGGAATGTTAGAATCCGAAGGCATCTTCGAACGGGCTACGCGACCACCCGTCTAACCATCGGAGGGGACTGGTCCGTACGGAAATCCGACAGAGCGCCTTACCCCAGAGAATAATTGGATTATGAAAGGAACTTGCATCTCATGTGGGATTTTCGACAATTTTGAGGTATTTAAATACAGACTTGATGCGTATTTGCTCAGGGTCTACATTATATATGCAGTGCGGATCGGTAAGACAGTGAAAGACTGCCGGAATCATAAAGTAAGCATATTTGTGTTTCGGATAATATGTATATGCTTGAGTATTGGAATCAATCAGGAGGAAAAAACAATGCTCCGGGAAATGATTACGGTGAGTATTCTGGTGCACCGAAAATTTATGTTATACAGGGACAAGTTCCAATTTTAGTACTCTGCTACTACACGTCCCCGTCCTGTGGAGTGAACCAAGCTGGAATGGAGGGAGTTACGGTCCTATGCGGGGGGTCATCCATCCTTGATTTTCAGAGCAAATGATCAGTAATACTTCAATAGTCTGCATTACAGCAATCGTCAGTACGCTCTGTGTGAGGGTGAACAGTAGAAACGGGTCTAAAAGCAAATTACTTCCCGTTATTTGTTTTCGGGGACTAGACGGACTTAACCACGTGTTGAAGTCTCAGTAGTTGGCCCCACCGTTTGGACAGGAACAAACAGAGGGTACCGACGATTTGGATTTTATAGATGGTCTTGTTCATCACAGTTCCCGAAACAAATAACGGGAAGCAGTCTGCTCGTAAGCCTGTTTCTACGGCTCAGTCTACACAAGGAACTTTGCCACGCTATTTACCCCAAAACGCTTGAGGCATTATTAATAAGTTAGACCCTACATATTAGTTGTCTGTAAGTCTATACTGGGACCATATTAAACCTCTGTAAGAACACATTCGACAATATTAAACAATCGACCAATGTTCCTATAATTTCTTATCATCAAGAACAATATGATACCTGAATCAATGTTATCTGATATCTTTGATTGTGACTTGCCACTGAAAGTCTCGTGCTCTTGATAAATATTCATTTTTTCAGCTGCTTGTCCAAACAACTATGATAAGTCTTCTGGTAGACACGAACAGACGATGCGACCAGGCCTGAGCAACTGCCCAAATAAATTGATAACCGACAACTAGCAGAAACTCGAATTTAATCAAATCGAAGATAATCGCAACGTCAGGCCGAGGTCAAAGTTGTGGATGTTCTCCGAAATACGACATGTTAATGACACCTCATGCCTCTCAACGGCACTCCGCGTAAGGATTAACAACGTGGCTGTTTCGGCGTCTTATAATTCTCGATGCGGATTCGGACAGCTCATCAGAACTATTATTGGAAAAACCTGAAAGGGTTTGGTATCCTGCCATACCCGGTCATGATATCTTTTTTCAGTTTCGTTGCTGAGGATAATAGGGAAAGCCTTTGAAAAACCCTATTGATTACATGTCAACTCGTTAAATATAACTGTACACGACCAATGAAAATATTCGCTACTAAAGAAGTACTTGACTGATTTGAGTAGCGTTGTTTCAGAGAAAAAATATCCGTTAATCACGGGGCATTTAGCTCAGGTTCCGACTGTTGAGGGGAAACAGGGGACACAAATAATCATCCAAGCGTTTCTTGAAGAGTTGCAGGGACGTCGCCTCCACGACTGACTGAGGGAGGTCGTTCCATTTCTTCACCACACTTTGTGTGACAAATTCAGAACGAAGATTCGGCCTGGACATTTTTGTCCGTAGATTCGTCGAGTGGCCACGAAGATTGGATGAAAGGTGCCAGTGAAACATGCCCTCAAAGCCAAGCCCATGCTCAAGGCTATGTATTATCTTGCAAACCAGGATAAAATCACCTCTTTGTCGCATGTAAGACCGTGGGAATAAATTAAGGCAGTCCAGTCTCTCTATGTAGGATTGAGTTTTTAAACCCTTCACCAGATTTGTTGCGCGACGTTGTACTCTTTCAAGGCATGGTTCGTCCTTTAAAAGCCATAGCCTACGCGCTTATATGCCATATTCTAAATGGGGCCTTACAAAGGTGCCGTAAACTCTTCCATAAAGGTCTTTGTCAAAGGTTGCTAACGCCCTTTTGATTGCATGCAACACTCCCACAGAGTTTTTTGCAGCCTTATTGCACTGCAGTACTGGCTTCATGTAAATCTGTATCCAAACAGCGAGATCCTTCTGTGATGATTCTGCGTGGAGTCTAATGTCTTTCAGATTATATGCCCCTAGGCTCTCAGTTGAAGGGAAGTTGGCTGCACCCGGATGAAGGACGGCACACTTCTGCACATTGAAATCTAGAAGACATTTCTTCGACCACGCTTACAGTCAGTGCAGATTATTTTGAAGGGCTCTCTGGTCATTTGGATCTAAATGACTTGCCGGAGCCTAATGTCAACGGCAAACATTATTCTACCGCAGTCGAGTTCCTGAAGGCTGTCATTAACATTAAAGAGGAGCAGTGGTCCCTGAACTGAGCCTTGAGGCACACCACTAGTCACGTTCACTCAGTGTGACACATCATCTCCGATACAGACACGTTGTTTCCAACCAACCAGAAATGCCCTTATCCAGTTTATAATGTCTCACACGATGTCGATGGCGCTCAATTTGTGGAGAAGGCGTTGGTGCGGGACACTGTCGAACGCTGTGTAAAAATCGATATACATGACATCGACCTCAAACCCTCTTCTAAAGCCCAGGTCCAGATCTCCAAGCAAGTCAGCACACTTAAGAGGTAGGAACGTCCTCTCCGGTAGCCATGTTAAAAATCCTGCAAGATGCCATCTTCTCCAAAAAATTGCTGTATGACATTCTTTACTAGAGCTTCCATCGTTTTTGCATGAGAGGCAAGTTATGCTAGTAGGCCGGAAGCTGCCTGCTGCCATCCTGCTACCTCCCTTGCGTAAGGGAACGATGTTAGACGTCTTCCACCGTGAGGACAGCCTTCCTGTTCTCATTGACAGCTCAAAGAAAGTCGAAAGAGGCTTTGACAGCCCCGTTGATAGCTCCCTAAGTATCAGCGCAAGAATTACGTCGGATCCAGGAGATTTCTCTGGTTTTATTTGGCTGAGGACACATCTTTCTTCTTCGACGAAAAAGGCGGAGGTTTCAATGAAGAAAGAAAGGAAGAAGAAAGATAGTTCCCGACCGTTTTGGCCCATTTCAAAGTGCTGAGTGTCTTCAGAGGACTCCTCCGTAAAAACCGATTGAAAAAATTGAGATAGTAATTGTACGTTCTGTGGCCGTTTAACTAATAAGTTTCCGAGGCTATCCTTTAGACACGCAATTTCGTCCCTATGTTTCCTCCTACTGCGGATGTACCCGTAAAACTTCTTGGGACATGTAATAGATTCTGCTATCAGTCGGCGCTCGAAAGAAGTTCCAGCAACCCGTATTTGTTTGAGGAATTCATTGAGCTGCTCCTTATATTCGGCGGATGTAATTGGATCCTGAAGATGCAAATACTTTTTCCACAGCCTCTGTTTCTTCTTTGTGGTCTTTTTGTCATCTGTGTGACCCACGGCGGTCACGCACGTGGTCTTCTTATTTTATTGGGCAATGGGAGTCAATTAGACGCTCAATAATCCCGCGAAAGTACTGCCAAACTTCTCTAAACCTTCCATGTTGACTAACCAGTTTTCCTTCAAAGGAGCACGTCACATTGCGTTAAAGTCACCCTTCCATATATTTCTGCGCTTCTTGATTTTTGGGTTGTTAGTTCGATAGAAGAGAGCACGCGCAGGTAAAAGCAATAGGATTGCTCAAACCGAGTGGACATTGTGGATTCACTTCTCTTATGACTCCTTCTTCTTTTCTGAAAACGAGATCTAAACAGTTAGATCGTTGTCCTTCTCTCAGTCTTGTTCCGATTTTTATGTGTTAAATGAGGTATTAACTCAGGGAGATTTGTAGTAGCTTGTTGTCAAATGACCTGAACGGGGCGTTTGTTAGGGGAATTTTCCAGTCTCTTCGAAAAGAGTTAAAGTCATCCAGAATTAGTAAGTTCTCCTACTTACATAACAACTCCAGTGCTCTAAGAAATTTCATTTTGGCGATTTCGTTCGAGCTGGGAGGCCGAAAGACGACGCACAGGTTAAGTGTCGGTAATTGTTTGCAGGAAATTATTTCAAAATTTCGCAGCGACCCATCGGATATTTCTCGA